AACAGGTCACCGCCCAAAATACAGCAGAGACACTGTTTCCAAGTTTGCACCTGTTTTATCAGCAGAATCCAAACTAAAACCACAGCAGTCGCACACGTCACTCACCCCCCCTTTCGTCCCCTCGTCCCCCCCACCACCACCACCACCAACAACCTTTGATTCCAATCAGCACTTGGAGTGAGGAGACACTCTGAAGTACGGCTCAACGCTGTCAAACGTCCCACATCCGCTGCATTCCAGACAAACTTGGCTTTCAACTCTCCCCCGAGACCAACGCCGCACGCTGCGACCGCGACAAATGATTTTGCTTTGTTCCCCACAATAACAAGCACTTGCCAGCACCTGCTCTGCTTAATTCATTAAATGAAATGTTCTCCTGTAAGGAGTCATTTCCATTAGTCTTTACACAACACAGGCCTGCGTTGGTGTTGTTATTTGTCAACCACAAGACTCCAACGTCACACAGCTGACATGAAGATAGTTCTAAGGTTGGAGCCGCCGATACTGGAGGGCCAGAGGGGCGTGAAAGAAGGAACATTAGGAAGGTTTGTGCATCAGAAAAAAAGGGAATGGAAACGGTTGCGATGGTGTCAGTTCATCCTAAAGGAAGAATAAAGAAAGAAAGAAAATAAACTTCCCTGCTCCCAGGACACTGCTGAGCACAGATACTGCTCTGGAGGAAGAATACAAGTGCAGTTAACTACGAAGGGAAACTGTGTCTGAGTCTGTGTACGAACAAGGACAATTGAGTTTATTCTGCTTTCTTTCCATCTGCACTAAATACATCAACAAATGAGTTCATTCCGGTCGTTTCCATACCACATATTATTTTAGACGGGCCTCTCTCACCCTCAAGGTGAGTGATGTCAGTGGAAGTGTTCAGACCCTGGCAGATCAGTTCCTTTCTGATGCTTATCTAGAAACTGTTTGTTTGTGCCGCACACATCACAAAGTCAGGACTCCCGGGAGACAGTCACCAGAGCAGCGCTCGCATATGCTGCTCGTGTCAAAAATATCATAAATCCTCACTAGACCTCCTTAGAAAAACGTCACAGCGTCTTTACCGAGGAGGCAGGCGTTCTCTCTCTCTGACTTCCTCTCCTCGTCAGAACTCCTTCGTTCCTTGTTTGAGTTTTTGGTTAACAGCTACGAGGTCTGTGTGAAGCAGCGTCGAAGGCTGCGGGGGGTTAATTCACTTTCTTAAGCCTGGACTGGATGGGCTAATTGGCAGTATGGAAACAGGGGCTCCATCAGAGATCATCTTCCTCTTGGAAACGGTGTCAGCAGCACTGCCTTCAGAGTCAGAGGGTTTCATCGCAGCGGAGATAAAAGCCGTGCCGGCCCGAGGGGCCGTAGACATAAAGAGTGTGTTTGAGGTTTGAAGGCTGCTGTTTTTTAAATTTATACTAACACGAGTTTCTTTGGGTTTCTGAGGAAGGAACGATGGTCTCTGAGCTGGGTATTAAGTAGAGATCACTGCAGAACTCACTGCATGGCAGGCAGGAATCCCACCGTTAAAGTATGCCGTCCATTACAAGGTGAAAATTGAATGAATATAGAACGGTTGTGTGAACGGATGCCTGGAATATTAATCCTTCAGAGCAGTTGTGATGGCAGTGAGAAACATTTCTTATGAGAAGAACACATAATTATTAACTAACTCCCTCCTCGCTCCCAGAGGAACAGACTAACAAGGCCGAGCATCTGCATATGTAAATCAATACTAATGCAACCCTTCAACTGACAGGGACGGGAAGACTCCGACTGAAGCTACAGTACACTTCAGCTGAAACTTGAACAGGAAGTTGAGCGTCGTAAATCACAGCACCATCGTCCACACAGTGTCTGGCAGCTACTGTTGGGAGAAGACCTGCCGTTGATGGATGACCGTTAGGGTCTCCCTGCACTCCCTGGCTGCTGCTAATGAGATGCATGGCAGTGCAGAGAGACTCATACAGGTCAGTGTGACATATGGGCATCTGTGCTCCATCCACTTCTATGTCGGCCACGCCATGTGTCTCTGACATCATGTGGAGCAGTGGAACTGGAACAAGACGCCCAGTTGAAACAGGCAGAGAACAGACCAGTGAAGATGTTGTACTGGGTAAAAAAAAAAAATGAGGGGAGGGGTGTGAGGAGAGAGGCCCAGCAGGGAGCTGACTTCTAACTCTGACCTTGTTTCATTATCACAGAATAAATACCTGATTAATGGGCGAGCGTGAGGCCAGGCATGAATACAGGCTGAAATATATCAACAACATTAGCATAAATGGGAATTTATGAGTAACGTGTAGAGTGGTGGGACCATGGATGAACCAACGCAGGCGTGCTAACCGCTACACTATGGAACCGCATTTATTGACATACAGTATTAGTTAATGTGATGAAAATCACATTTAAAATACTGCATCTACTTCACTGTGCATTAATGCAACCTCCACCTGAAGAGGTGTCAATGCTGGTACTCTGAAACCCATTATATTTAAAGAACACAGCCAACATCTATAAAGTTCAATTAGGCCAGTTTACAGACCCCCCCCCCCCACCCCCCCCTCTCCTCAACCACCCACCCACCAGGCAAAAAGCAGCTCAGAGAGGAGTCCACATAATCTGCAAAGGAAGACAGTAATTACAATCCTCACCATCAAAAGCTGTGTTCCTCCTAAACTGCCAGCTCCATGGGATCACAGTGAAATCGCCTTCTTTGATCCTCCATCCCAGATAATATAGGTCATCTCTTCAGGGAGAAACAACAAAACCAAATGAGGTGGAAAATACCGTTCAAGCCTCCTCTGAGGAGCAGAGCAAACAGCTGCTCAAATGCAGTGGAACTGACCGCAGCACACACTCATTGGGGGGGGCACGGGGGCGGTGGGGGTGGGGGGGGGTCTTGATCTTTGGCATTTTAAACCCAACCATCCAGGAGCTACTGTGTCGCCCGTGCATTAAAACACAGGATTGTTGTTTTGAAATGTGAAATATTGCATGTGTCATTTCTTACTCTGCCGCTCGTATGTGGAGCCTGTTCAGAGTGGGTATCCATGGCAACCATTTTATAATGCTTCACGAAACACCTTAGAAGAGGTTTCTTTTTATCTGGGCTGGAGGGCTGGGACGGAGGCAGAGGAGAGCTGCATCTGAGGGCAGAAATAATGACGGCCAGGAAATGTCTAATTTTTCTCAAATGACACATTTGTAAGTCATTACCTCCAAAGGTGTGACTTGCAGAAAGGCAGCGTGAATGGAAGGAATAATGAAAGAGCATAATCTGAGAAGAGACGGGAGAATGAGAATAGCTGCAGGTTTTCATTGCGAAGCCCCATCTAAAAATAACACTCATCCAATAGAGGAAGATTTAGAGGTTTTTTTTATGTAACATTTGTGCCACTTGAAAAAAGGAGTTTCTGCTAAAACTGCATGTGGTTGGTTCTATTTAGCTTCAACGTGCACCGTGCATAAGCATGGGCTCTCTGTCCTGGAGGACAAGTCCAGTCATGTGGAATACAGCAGGAGTGAACATGAGGGGGGGGGGAGACATGCAGCCAGCTGGGATTTCTGCAAGAGAATAAGCCAGAACCGATGCCAGGAGTTGACAGGACCAATCGGGAAAGAGCTGGGGCCCTATCCATGCATGCTAATGGGCAGTGAGTAGAGAGCGTCAGTAAGCATTTGTTGTCATGGATACGGTAGCAGTCACACAACATTACCTGAGCAGGTAAACCGAGTGGAAGGAATCTGGTGACTGCAGGGGGCGCCGGGAACTTCAGGTGAGATCAAGTGGGTTTTTTTTTTCGGGCCAGACAAACGCTGCAGAGGTGAAGGAGATAAAACACACGCCACCTCACCTTCATCTCTCAGCTGTTGAGATGAGCTTCTGTACAGAACAGAGTCAGAGACTCTTCAACGTTGAACTGTGATGTGAGGTTTTTTTACTGCAGTGATGGAATTTGAGCTGTTGCTGTGGCACTGGGAAATGTGGAGTCGACAGCAGACAGACCAGACCAGACCAGACCAACCCTGTAAGCATCACAGTAAGTCGTCCTAAAAAAAAAAAAGCCAGAAAAGGAAGGAAAGTGAATTATTTGTCATTGTGACACAACAGAATGTGACCTCATTTTACCCATCACCAAAATGAGCAGGGAGCAGCAGAAGTGCCCAGGGAGCAGAGTGTGGGGACGGTGCCAGGCTCAGAGCACCTCAGTGGTAACTTGGCAGCTGCTGGATCAAACCTGAGACCTTCCAGACCCATATCCGCTTCCTTAACCACTAAGCCGCCTCTGCCTTAGTGACAAATATATCAACATAAAAGATGGCGATCTCTTTGATTTGGCTCCAAAAAAGCTTTGGCTTAAATTTAAAAAGTGACAATTCTACCAACAACAATAACAATTCATATGGATGGATGGATGGATGGATGGATGGATGGAGCCTGTCGCAGTTCACATCCCACTGCCATTGTCTGTTGTCAATGTCATGAGACAAGTGAAGCTTTTTCATTGATTCTAATCTCCACCCTCAGTGGTTCAATTAGATCTTCACTGCCGGAGCCCAGAGCAGCTGTTCCACTTGATCGGTTCTGACACATGGAACTGATAAAAGGCAACGTAATTCATCCAACAACAGGTGGGTGGTGCAGGGCTCCAGTATAAGCTGCTGAAACACCACCACCACAGACAGCAGATAATTCAGCAGGGGAGCAGCTGATGCCAAGTCAGAACAACGTCGTTCCCTCCACCTGTCTGTGTCACATCTGCGCCGGCTGCCACTTTCTACACCTTCTGTGTGATCGTATTGTGTGATTGTGTTGTTTTTGTGCCTCACCTCCTGTTGGTCTCTCCCCAGCTTTACTTCCTGTTGTCCCGTCTCCACTGTCCACGCCCTCAACTGTGATCCCTGCCTCAGTGACGGCCTCCTCCCACCTGTGTCTCCACACTGATCCTCCTCACTCCTTATCTCACATCAGGTTTGGTTGTGTGCAGTGGTGTGCTGTGTCACAATGACAACCAGTTCACTTTCCTTTCCTTTGACTAACTGGTTAACTTTTACTGCAGCACCACCTGTGGAAGAAAGTGGATGAGTTAGCCTAGCCAATACGGTTTAGAAAGTTGCTTTTTTAAAGTTTGAAAATACAAACTACTGTGTGTCTTATCTGCCATTTTTCCTCATCTATTTCATGAGATAAATAGATATTAAGATAAAAAAATAAATTAGGGATTAACCTTTTTCACCTGAAACACTCCACGTGGACTAAGTCCCAGATTCCAGCAGTCTGGAATGCAGCCCACTGGATCTGTGTGTGACTTTTCTCCTGCCCTGTGTTTCCTACCTTGAAACCTTCACTGACGTCTGTTGGACGTAGCTGCTCCTGTCTCTGAGTCCTGACTGTGTCCATAAATCGTGATGGGCCGCAGCATGTGCAGCAGACACAGGCTGCAGACCATTCATTCAAACACAGGGACAAAGTCATCAGTTTTCCTGCTCTGCAACACAAAGAGGAAACCGGGGACTTATAAGGACGAGATCAAAAAAACAACAAAAACAAACACAGAACAGAGGGTCTGTTAGAAGACGGCAGTTATGTAAAGATGGCGCTCTTCATCAGTTCAGCTCTGTTTGAGCTCATTCTCAGCTCCGTTTTATCTTCTTGTCACAGCTTCACTGCTGCTTCTATTTTCATACGTGTGACACATATGGTGTTACCTCCACTCTGTGTCGGGTAATTTTTAGAGGCTTAGATGACGTGACCTGAACATGTAAAAAAAAAATGGTTAACATATTTTTTACAGTACATCTGTGTACTGATATAGTATATTTATTGTGTGTTAATATATCCTTTACTCTGTTACTTACATCACAGCTTCTTCCCAGTGATTTGGTCTCAGCTTCATAATGCTGCCACTCTTGATGGCTTTTATCTGGAGCATCTTTGAGGTCATTCTGCTTTTGATATGCTAATGTTTTTAATCAAAATTTTCCAGAGAATTAAGCTTTCCGAGAGCTGGACGTCCTCTGCGTTATCCAAGAAATTAACCTTTGCTGCTGGAAGGACGTGTGAGAATCCCAGCTGTCCGAGTGTGCAGCGCGGAGGTCGTGCGCCCTCGCAAACTGAGTTACAGCGGAGCGTTACGGGCATTTTAAAGGGAATTACAGAATATGATTTGTAAGTGTTGCTCAGGCAGGAGAGCAGAGCAGAGCAAGGACAGGCGGATGTTGAGCTTTGCTGAAAGAATTACAACCTGGCTTCTACTGTCTTGTGTCGTGTGTTTTTTCATGACTCAGTGAAATCTCTTCTGTCGTCCCTCAGCAAAAAAGGTCACTGGTTTGATGACGCTCTCGTTTGATTTGTTCGTACGTTGTGCCCGTGTTTCTGGCCAGCCACGTGCAGATTCTGAATGTGATTGGTCAGTCGCTCTAAATTGGCCTCACATGAAGATGTCAGTGTAAGGTGTGACGCACAAGCAGAGTGTGTTGATTGTACCTTCCACGGACGTCAGCTACAGGTTAGCACCGTCTTCCCTGTTTCCTAGAAGTAAAGGAGTTAGACCAGATCACCACTTCAAATGTAAGGCACAGGAGTCGCTCCACTGCACCACTCTTTTCTGTAAAATAAAAAATATACATCCAAATTATGTGATGGCAGAAAAAACTGCAGTGTCATTTTGGAAATGTTCACAATTTTTTCTGATACAATCGTACGTAGAGTTTTCTAATCAAACCAAAAGAATTATGTAAACTATAGCAACAAAACCACCAAAGAATTATGTAAACTATAGCAAAAGAAACTGTTTATATTATTGTATAAACTCCACTTTGCAGTTAAACCGCTGAATTGTGCACTTGAGACACAATGTCTGATGAGCAGACAAAGATTGCAGGATGATTTTATTTTTTAAATTGAAAATCTCTTAGCTCTTTTATTGTTGCATAGTCTCCAGATTAAATGATCTGGCTCCTTAAACTCTACACTATGTTCAGCATCTGTTGCTAAGCTGTCGCGTACTTGGCCCACAATAACACACAGTGTGTGTGTTAATACACAGCAGCTGCCTGATGCATCTGGAGGCAGCGATCGTGAAAGTCCACACCATCCAAATAAAACAGGCTGTAACGTCTAACGCCATCGACAACAACAAGCCCTCTGGACAATTTTAAGACGCTTTTTACATCGATGATGATTGGTTAATGATAAAAAGAGTCAAGACCTTCACAAAACTCCAAAGATATGGTAATACTACTTTTTAATTTCTGACAATAGTAATCAAACATACTAAGGACTGCACCGGCTCCTCAGATGAGCTTGACATTTCTTTTAATAAGAGGCACAATTTAATATAAATCCCAATCAGCAATGATGCTGGATTTAAAAAATAAAACTTTTGCTGAAATAAACTTTCTTTTCACTCTTACAGCAATAGTAGGAGACGTGCTGACATCTTATTATAAGTGACATGTCCTCTGTCACCCACACAGCTACCACTGGACATAGTCAAGTTTAAAAAAAAAAAACTACACCTAATAAAAAGTTGTTTTTCTGCCACTAATCCAGAAGGATCTCAGTTCCCTCCTACTGAGCTGCTGACATCAACACGGCTTCTATCAGAGTATATTAAAGCAGATCCACCTTAAAGACAAGGTCAGTGATGCTGACGTAGATTGTGTTTAAGGAAGCCCCTCAGGTGAAGCAGCCTTTAAAGTCTAATCACACGTGTCCAAAAATAAAGCTTGACCCATGAAAGAACCGCTTCCAGGCTCTGACGTGACATGAAGGAGATTGCTGACACGGACAATAGTTTTACAGCATGGTCCACCCTCAGGGTCCACCTGATGGATGGGTGTGGATGATTTCTTTTTTTTTGCGGTATATATTTTTTTCTTATTGACTTCTCATCCATTCAAAGGAAGCTGGACGGTGAGGATGCTCACGGTTGCCAGATCTGGGCCAGGACCATTACCTCCTGTCAGACAAAAGTACTCCAAACACAGACCCGGTTTAGAAATAAAGGCCCACATTTGTTTGAAGATATCTGGGTTACATGTACCTCGTTACCTGTGGACCGTTTTGGGCACATATTTATTTTGTTTGGCCCAGACGATAGCTGACAGTACTGCATGGAGTGGCCCACATACACATGCTATCTTGGTTCAGACACACTCCCCTGAGTGGGACGGATGCAATTTCCACTGTTTACCACAGCCACCAGTTCCACTCTGTTATGATTCAACTTGGTGCAATATTTTTCCACAGTTTCTAATCCCAGTCAGCATTTACTTTACCGACCCCAACATCTTTGTTGAAAACAACAGTTACAGACATCCTCTTAGCTCATGCTGCCTTTGCACACGGGTCAGTGACCTTAAGGTATTAGTCGGAGCAGGTAGCTTCAACTTAGCCAAGTATGCTAAAATTAGTTTCATATAAATCCTTTTTGGTTTAAAAATATTGATTGTCAAGCATTAAATTACAGAAAACCGGAAGCTAATGTGATGCTAGTAAATACACAAGTCTTCAGTATTTAAAAACGGTCAAAATCATCACAATTTCAAAACAAAAAGTTTCATTCACCTAGAAATGAAGACTAAATAAATAGAGTAGAAGAAGAAAGATCCACATATTATTTTTTTTTATGCTTACCTTAAGGATTATCATGAACGAGGGGAGCAGTCAAATCTACGGCCAGAACAGAGAAAATGTGTCAGTGTTTGGATTGAGCTCCTGATACGAAGATGTTTGATGTGTTGGTTTATCAAATCAAGGTCTGAGCAGCAGCAGCAGCAGCAGCAGCAGCAGCAGCAGCAACACTCAATTCCAGAAAGATTGCGATGAGTCAAACATGAGTCACTGTCCTTAAAGTAAGGCTAGCAAATAGAGGGGCAATTGATGATGTACAGGAAGTAGCTGCTGTGCCGTCACGTCTGTGTCAACAAAGTCATGGATCACCATAGCAAATGTCATCGTATGGTGCATTGTTACTGCAAATAGATTTCAGGAAAAAAATGACCCAGTGACAAAGAACTATTCTTTTCCATGAACTTGAAAACCAAAGGGAAATGTAAATATTACAGACCAATCGATAATGTCCAGCTCTGAAAATAGTTCCTTCTCCAGTTTCAGAATATGCCGTGGGTTGTTTTCGTGTTAAAGGCCAAGTTGTGCTGCATGTTCTCTTCATAGTCATCTGTGTGTAACTTCTGATCTGATTTCCTCAGTAACATTCACACGAACAAAATGAAGCACAAATGCAGAAAACAACACACAGAGGGATCACACTGGTGACCTTCCTACTGTCAGGCAAGAACACTAACCACTCCTTCCACAGTGCGGCCCACATGGGCAAGACAAGAGGGTGAATACATTAATTTAAAATCACAGCTCCAGTTTGTAATTCAGGTATTTTTAAAGCATGATTTGTATGTGATGATTTGAAAATAAAGTCTTCGTCTTTTCAGTCCAGTTATTGGAGGTTGTAGAGGCTCTTGACTGCGGTGAAACGCCAAGGTTTAAGATTTAATGAGGTTTTCATTATGCACAGTGTTGATATAATGATGGAATAAAGTTCAGCTGTGTTCAGTTTTAGGGTTTGCAGAGTTTTAATGTGCCGTATTCTGTACGATGATGTTGCTTTAGTTATTTCAGGCTGACATCATATTTTTGTTAGTGTGGAGTTTGTAGTACATGTTATTGTGTATGAACATACGACTTCAACACTTGGGTCGCCACAGGAGTAATCCACAATGTATTTTAACAGCATGTTTCTATGTTTTTTCCACACAGGGTATTGAACCTTGCGCTGACATGTGGTAGCTCTGGTCCAGCCACTAAACTGTAATTCAAGACTGATGTAGCCATTAAACCCACCATAAACCTGAGGAGTGCCAAGTTACAGTCCTACATCTCTGGTGGGATCTTCTATCAAGTCATTTTTAATGCATCTTTTTAAGGCTACGGCCACTAAATATGAGGAGGATAAAAACCAGGAGGACGTCCTGTTGTAAAATTCACCCAATTTTGGTTTAAGTCGGCCCAAAATGACCCACTTACTGTAGCTAAACCTCAGACACCGGGGCCTCTTTGGTGACGCAGTAAATTTGAAAAAGTGTTTTTTGATTAACATTAATGAGACGGGAATTTTCTAACAATAAACAGTGTCATCAGTTAACACTGAATTTGTGTCTGTCTCTCTCGTCTTGTTTACACATTCTCTTATCTCTGGAGAAAATGATGAATAATTTTCACCTTGTTACATTTTTTAAAAAAACATTAAAATTTCAAAATTCATAACCCTTTGTTGAGGTAGGTGGTAAATAATTGTAGTCATTTCATAACCCTTTGTTAGGTTTACTGAGGTAGGTGGTAAATAATTGTAGTCAAAGTCATTCTCTAATCTCTGTTAAAGTTAAATCACAGCTCAGGTGAATTATTAAAGTGTCTCACAGACAGTGACTGACTTTGTGTTTTTGCTATATCTCTGTTGGGTTTTTATTTTTTTTTTGTTTTTGTTCTGGAAGAACAATGTTAGAAAAACACAATAAATCACTGTGAAGGTGATGGAGGAGCACATTCAGCCTCATGTGCTGCAGTTTTATCACCGCACGCCCGCTCCACTGTCAAACAGTTCCAACATCAGTTAGAGCCAAATCAGAAACGACTTCTGTTCGTTCAAACACAGTTGATAGTTAAATGGTCTCAGTGCATCGTTACCAAGTCCACTTCATGTTACCTGGTAAACCACATCCACCATCTGTGTGCCTCCTCATTAGCACCTGAGGGTCACAGCACACATGCATGCCCAGCACCGCTCCTCCTCCTCCTCCTCCTCCTCCTCCTCCTCCTCAGTATAGACCCAGTGTAATGACATCCACCTTCTCCTCCTTCATCTCCCTTTTGTCTCCTCACCATGTTGCGTGTTCGGAGCACAGGCGAGAGCAGCTCAATACAATGTGTTGAAAGATAAAGGAACTGACTCCCTGCCAAGCCAAATCTATCCACAACGCTATTATGGTGCCATGGCAACAGATGAAGACACGCTGGCCTCGCTGGATGGGGGCACCATTGGTTCATCGTCTTCGCTGCTACACTGACTGGCAGTAAAGCTCCACATGGCTGCTATGGCAACAGACTGATATGCAGAGAAGGGGCTGCTGGTCGACACAGCAATGTTGTCAGTTTCCCTCCAAGTTGCAGGGAATTAGATTTCCTCTGATGAGGAGTTGACCTTGAACAAAGACGCCACATCGGTTTGCAGCTGCAGATTTTGATGGGGGGGGAGGAGGGGGGGACGACATGGTGTGTGTTTACAAACACAGTCCTCACTCCTGCTGACTTCACCTTTCACCCTAACCTCTGAGCTGCGATTAACTTTATTTTTAACAAAGTTCCATCACTGTAGGGTTGCATCCCATCCTGAAGACGTCAAGATTCTGAGTAAAATAGTGAATAAATATGAATCCTTATATTCCACCACACATAAAACTGGCTATTTTATTTAAGTCACTCGTAAAAATAGGGTGTGATGCAATAGTTGCTGCACACCTTGAGTATGGAATTAAATTTTAAAATGACACGAGCCTCTCTCTGAGCTGCTTATATATAACAAACATTAAAAAGCTGAGGGTCAAATACTGGCCCCTGGGCCCAAATCCTGGACAAGCTTAGTTTAAAGAATGTTATTTAAATGTGTCTACCAATAGTGTAACAGACATGGCTTTCAAAAATGTAGAGGCAGATCAGTAAAAACAGAAAAATATCTCAATAAAGAAAAAGAACTAAATGGTTTGGTTAAAAGCTAACGTAGCTGCACATGAGCTTAAAAACATACGTAAAGGTGAGCGAACACTAAAGACGAGTCACATCTGATTATACTGCGTCAGACTTCAGATGTCTCCTCCAAAAACTGCTATAAAAAATGTGTGCCCCCGTTGTGCCCAGACCACCAACCTAGAGCTTGAACACCGGCCGACTCAGGAGGCTGACAACGCAATCACATCACACTGCTGGGGGCAGAGAGACAATGTCAGACATCTCTCTCTCTCTCCTGTCACACCGCATCTGCATGAAAATGGAAGAACTATGAGTTATGGATTCACCTCAGATGTGGGAGGTTTGTATGTTTAGCTGCTTCAATCCATTGATCGCTCACTCCCTCTTGGCAAAGGCTGGACGGCTGGACGTCACGCCAAAGTACATCAGCTCTAAACAGCTGCTGCAATGATTCTTCAAACAGAATTGTTGCTGGTAATTTGAGGCAGAGCCATAAATCATGAGTGGATATTTTGAAATACGGCCTGATTCTGCTCATATCACTCACGGGTCACATTGATTTTTCGAAACCAAGGCTGGAGTCAAAGACAGTTACAGAGGAGAATTAAAACCCCCATGAGGGCAGTTAGGGATGATGACTATTTCAGCCGTGAGTTTCACTCTCATCTGTGCTATTGTCGGCCTTGGATAAGTGGAAGAGTCCAGTGAAGGGGGTGAAGGTGTTAGGAGATAAGGACACAGTGAGAGGTGGAAAAAAAAAGGAATAATAAAAGCCATTCCCTGGAAACAGAGCCCGGCTGCTGCTGTGCTCCCCCTGACTCTGACTGTGTGTGTGCGGTTCTGCAGATGTGCCGTGTTGCATGCGTGCGCGTGAGAATCTGCAGTGGTGAGTGAGAAAGTGCTGCAGGGTTTCTTTACCCGTGAGGCATCCAGCGTGCTTGTTTGGTGGAACATCCAGCGCCTAATCTTTAATCTGCAATTACAGCACAATTAATAATTCAGTGTTTTACTGGTCGCATTGTTACACAGGCGCAGAGGAGACAGAGTGTGATTAATTATTATGTCTGTCAAATGGCTGAGTGTAGGGAGGCTGGGGACAGAGAACAGACTCACAGTCACTGTGCTGCCTTCCATCTGTGGCAGGTGTGCGCATGTGCTGAATCAGAGCTGTCCAAACAAATCTCCTCATATCTGCTCCAAGCATCTCTATTATTTTCTTTTTTTTAAATCCTACCCTAAAAAAGGATGTTGTAGACAATACAAGTTTATTTAAAGCAAAAGAACCAGAACTGAACATAATACTGTAGATAAAGGGGTCTGTGTCCACCCCCTCCCCTCCCTTCATCCTTGTAGGCCCAAAGAGTTCCTTTGGACTGGACTGCATCCAGTAAGCATGACTTGGAACAGAACCAATCCGGTGACCCATCGTCCATCCATATTAACCCCCAAATATGAGCCCATGGCTGGAGAGACACCTACTGTAGGAAAGATATGGTTAATGATTTCACAGAGATAGAACACCAAGTTCATTGTTTGTGTTACACTGCCCTCCCCTGGACATTTTAAATACCACAAGAGCAATTTCAATCAATAACTTGTAACGTTGTTTGTTACTTGCAGCTTATATATATATATATATATATATATGTGTTATATATATAAGATATTTGGTGAGATGAAAATAGTTATTTACATGTCAATGAATAAAACCTTATTAGGCCAAAAACCTTGGTTTGTACAATTGTTTTTTTGTTTTTTGTACATGCCGTTTGCCAAAAAGCCAGATGATTCAAAACAAGCTTTTTATGAAAGAAAGGGATAAAGAAGTCTATGATCAAAGGGGGTGTATGTAACCGTACTTTCCTCTAGTGTCAAACTGAAGCATTACACTCATATTCCATCTTCTGACAGATGATGCTCTGTCCAACGTCTCCTATAAATAAATTAAAGAATGCTGTGTTTCTTGATAACATTTCTAAGAACAGAACTGACAGGAATTAAAGAACAAAAACTTAAAGCAAATACATTTCTGTCTTATTGATGAAAAAAAACCAAACAAACAAACAATGAAGCCTGATGATTTGATATTAGTCTTCCAACATTAACATAAACATATTTAATTTAAATTCATTAACTGAGGTCAAAAACTAATTACTGTACTGTAATTTATACTGTATGTGTATATAAAAATGCACAGTATTATATGCGTAATTAGAAAAAACAAATGCTTCAGAAAAACAGACACAGGTACAATGACAGAGTGACCTACGTTACAAAACAAAACCTTCTTCTTTGCTATTGGTCAGCAATAAAATCAAACATTGGATTAAAAAAAAGTCTTCTTAAGAAACAAGCTGCCAGCCACACTCAAAAAAGAGGCAGAAAAACATAATGAAATGTTTGTAACGTAGATACATTTATAGAATCTTCTTTTCTTTACAATAGAGTTGATCTGTCATCCAAGAAGACCAAAAAGAAAAAAGAAAAGAAAACGCACACAATACAGGTCGATAAAACTAACTTTTTGAACATATGATTGTCACTGACTGCAAGTCACAAAAAAGTACATACCACAAATAAATAGTCTACAGAAATATATACAATATGCACAACAAGGACTTAATGGAGTGCAAATAAAGCTTTGGACGCCTGCGGAGGAAACAGCGTAAGCAGATGTCGACTGAGTCGGCCGTCCCCAGAATGGAGTAACGAAGCAACAGTCATCTATACGTCATAAATCTGCAGGACATAGAGTAAAATTTCAGCTTTCAGCTTCTGCACTGGATGGATTTTTAATAATGAGCCTAAAAAAGGGAGGAATAAAAAAAAAAACAAACATGTCACGTTATGTACAGCACGTAGTATTTAAAACAAACAAAACTGAATTTAAGGTTCAACGTCTGATGAGGATCAAGGCAACAACCACGCAACTATACAGGCATCTGAGATCAAGACTGAAAGATGGAGGAGGCAACTCTTTGTTTAATTAAAAAAAAAAATCTTGTTGTGCTCCTGCTCTGGACACTCCAGCCTGTAATACTAGGATTCAGCCGCTTTAGTTAACGCTGTACAATACCTTTACCTTTCCCATTCATACCAACCACAGACCAGGAGAAGTTACAGAGTCAGCTGGTCCCAGGAACTGCAGGTATGACATCAGCAAACATGTGGGGCGCAGTCCTCTTTAATGTCCCAAAAGTTAAGTCTTTAGTATCTGTGAACTATCCAGAGTTTAAATACTCCAGAGCCACCTCGTAGCAGAACTTGTACTGCTCCTGGAAGAGGAAATAGAGAGAACACGGGTGAGACTTTGTGTCTGATTCACATCCATTTTTTTAGATAATAAAAACACATCCTGTCATTGTGCGACCTCATGTTACATTAATGAAGTGGTACCTAGTTTTGTTGTCGTTGCAGAGCCGTAAACACTAAGAGTGGTGTTGAAAACATTTCTGAGCTAAAAATGTCTTTTTCTTTAACACATAATAATGGCAGTAATAGTAAGGTGACATCATTATTTGGTGTTTGTTTAGTTTTCTAACATTTCTCACCAGCAGGTCCACCATGTTGGGTTTGTTATTTCTCAGTGTTTTCACAGCGTGGAAAACATCCACTGATCGCTGGTGCTGCAGCATCTCACACACGATACTGATGGCACAGAAGGTTCCACTGCGGCCGCCTCCATTCCTGTGGTTACAGAAAAAGAATTCAATGTTGGAAAAACTCAAGTATTTAACATCAATATTTGAGGATGAACGATTCTAAACGTCATTCTTAAAAAAAAAAAGGATTTTTCTTTTTTACTGCACCGATGTTATTTGACCAGGAGGTGGAGATGTTGCCTTTCTTAACAAACCCTGAGTGATGGAGGGAGGGAAACTTACAGGCAGTGGACCACAGTGCGACCCTCTCCTCCGTCATACTCCTCCTGCCACTTGTCCACCTGTCGGATCAGCTTGAGGAAGGAGCGCTTGGACACGGGCGTGTCCCGGTACATGGGCCAGCCCAGGAACTGGAACTGCTGCACCATCCGGTACCCATCCTGAGGCTGCGGAGGAACAGAACAGTCACACTGGTTATTCTTGGGGGACGATAACATGAAGAAGAACAGGAGGTCAAACAGGCCTGACCTCAGCACGGGCACTGATGCTCCATCATCTGGGACACAAGTCCTATCAGATCACACTGACACATCGATCAGTTAACACTGGTTGGTGATCAGTTGTGATTAGAATCTATTGAACCTATCTCTACGTCCATAGAACAGAGAACACCAGAACATGGAACTGTCAGCAGAATCTGAAGCTGAGGACACAACAAGATCTTTATCAGATTTTACCCACAATTCCCAGCACCTGCGGGGCATGGCACACAAGTCTGTGTGAGAGGACCAGGTCCCACTCAACCTCCATCAGACAAGTGTGTGGATGTAACTAGGGGGCGTGGACTTATTACTGACCGACATGTGTCTGTGTTTTCCTTCTAAACAAGTGTAGAAAACGGAGGCGACCCCAGGCCGACAAGTTTTATAAATAAAAATAAAACTCAGCTGGACTCGTAGTGGAGTGAAGAATCACCTTTGTTCTTATTGTTTAAATACAGACACAAAGCACAGCTGGCTAACATGGGATTTGAACCGGCCACCCTCTGAAAAGAATTCTGCTAAATTTCAAAACTAATTTCTCATTAGGCAAAAGAAAAAAAAATGTATCAACTGTGGCCCAGATAAAAAAAAATTTAAACTGAAATAATTTGCCTCCCATGGGGCCTACCCCTCATTTTGGGAACAATTTTAAAATAGTCAGTTAGCCTCGTTTGTTATTAGATGTCACTTCAGCTGTAAACCTGTAGTAGTAGATTCAAAATCTGTGAATACTGTAAAAGTTTTGTCTGTGCGATTACACATAAAACAACCACAGGTGAGTTCATCCACGTCGACCCTCTTTTTTAGAAACACTGTATGTGAAAAATCTAAACGTTGGTTTTCTTTCAGTCCAGTCTGACTGAATAATCTGCTTCATTCCAGTGTCAGAATAATGTGCTACGACACAGACTCTGCACGTTCAAAAAGCTCTGACACATTTGGAATGTGTTAGAATTCCATTGGTGCCACAAAACAACACATCTCAAAGAGACGTTTCTCTTCATCAGAATGTGGTTCCCATGAAAAGAGTGAGTAGAATGTAGAACAATGGTTCTTCTCCAGAGGGTCAGGGTCAGGGTCAGGGGTCACACTTTTATAAAGGAAGAGGCCGAGAAGGAAAAATTGTTTTCCCTGTTCTTCTATTATTCTTTTAGGTTTTTTTTTTTAAGGCTTTCTGTAAATTCCTTGATTTTAAAATGACTCTCATCCTCCTGTGAATGAACCTGAGTCCAGGAAAGTGGAAAAGTTTTAACAAAACCATAGAAACTACTAAGTCTATATTTTGACAAGTTACCTGGAACATATATTTACTTATATATATATTCATATTTCATACATGTATACATATACATATACGTATATATATCACATTCTATATATCCATCCAACAGTTCCGTACCCTGGCTGCGTTGTAGATACGAAATATCCTGCTGATGATGTCCTCCTCCAGGTCAGCGGAGACGAACTCCACCTGGATGTGTCCGTGACGGTGGACTCCGTTCTCTGGCCAGTACTGTGGGCACAGCTAAACAAAATAGGCAGGTTGACACACACACACACACATTCATGCACGCACAGATACAGAGGCAGAAGCGCACACACACACACACACACAAGCAAAAGGGGGGAAATAAAAACAAGACAAAAAAAGGAGAGAAAGATGATTCATTAGTTATGGAATCCAAACTCAGCTGACCTCCTGACAAGCTTAAATCAGTTTTTAGGTTTAAAGAAAAAAAAAAGGGACAAGCTTAATAAACTTTCATTTCAAATCCTGACGACTTGTTTCCAACTGTTGAATTAAAGAAAGGTAACATACTTGTCTTTGGACTCACTGATGATTCAAAGAAAAACAATTATCAGAGACTCATTTTTCTTCCTTTATTGGACAAGATAGTCGCACACACACACACACACACACAAAACACACACACGCACTTGCCTACAATTCAATTAAAAGTCAATATAATGGAGGATAATGATGAAAAATACAGGACGTTACGTTGATCTGTTATTGTTCAGAGCTGATTAGCAGAGTTAGCGTTTGTTTTAATTGCTGCTGAATCCGATCTCACGACCATTTCTCCACTCCTTCACGCTTACAGCAATTTCAGCAATTATTTTTAATTTAGAAATCTCTCTTAAAACGTTTGTGCCGTCCGTCCATCAGCCACTACACCCTCTGAATACAACTACACAACAACCAACTCACGGGACAAACTTGTAAGAGGATGATAACAACCGCAAAACCTTCCCCCGTTTCTGCTCCTCAGGAGAGGAAGCCCGGTTAAGAACATGCAGCTGCAGACTCGCACACCTCCAGCCTCGCAGCACTAAATCACACCACTGAAAGTGGACACAAACAGATGGAGAGATTCATGCCGTCGTGCAGAATCCCTCAGTCGTGAACAAACAGCAGAAGAATAAGGAGAGAGAGAGAGAGAGAGAGAGACTACCTGGGAAGAAGGCAAATATCAGGCACCAGTGCCTGCATACAGATGGACTAACAAATATTTGCTCACTCAATCCCCCCCCCACCCCCCATGAACACAACAACACACACACACACACCTTCTACAGTAGGTGTGGCCTTGAAAACACCTAGCCCTCTTTGGAGACTGCATCAAACCGTGACAAACAGATGCAGAAACAAAGGCGCCGTTGGAGAAGACGGCACGACTCTGCCTCCCCCAACGCCATCTAAACCTCGCCACCTTCCTCCCGCCTCACCTGTGCTGTGTTTTTCTTGGCTGGCTGACTGGCTTGCTACAGTGAGAATATTGAATGAAAGGCCTTTTTCTTCTTCCCAGCCAGTCAGCCAGCCAGCCAGCCAGTCAGTCAGTCAGTCACCGAGGGAAAGGATATTTGGATGGGGAGAGCAGGCAGGCTTCAGGCTTTGATCCCGGGTGTTATGACAGAGCCTCAGGCTGAGAAATCTGTAGAGTCTCCTCCACAAGCCTGTCTCTCCATCCACCCATGCTTTCATGGCAAGTCCTCTTCCACTCGGCAGCATCCACCAGCACATTTCAAACATGTCCTACATAGACATGTGTACTGTGCAGTTGGCAGCAGACTGGATATTTTATTAAGTTCCAGTTTAAACCAAGAGAAATCTTTTGTTTCATCAGTATTCCACATTGTTGTGTGAAAAACTGTCCTATGTTTCATCAACCACATTGTTGTGTGAAAAACTGTCCTAAAGTTGGTCTGTGTCGTTGCAGTTGCTGCGTATCAGGTCGGGTTTACCTGGGCTGGATCCACGTCGTTGAGCATCACTATGGAGGTGCAGTGGTAGTCCAGCACCAGCCTCCAGAAGTCCTTCACTGTGTTGGGCAGCGGGTGCTGGGTCACTATGAATGCAGAGGGCTGCTTATAGCTCTGGGAAAAAAAAAAAAAACAGAGACATGGAGGAAAACACGTCACTAAAGCAACACACATTTCACCTGGTATGTTAGATAAAAACCCACCCGAGAATAAACTGTATCCAGTGTTTGGAAAGTGACTTTTATTCCTGAGACGGCCTCCTGCTAACTGTTCTATTCTAATGGAGATTTCATGTCTAGGGAAATTTTATGAGGACGATGCAATTTTAATGTGGCTTCAGGCTCACAGAGGTAACTCACTGCTGGGCTCACCGTGTTCTGCCCAGAACCACAAATAATCCACAAAAAAAATCTCACAATAATTTGTGGCAAAATGTGACAACATTATAAACAAACAGCATAAAAAATGCTGCATTATCCTTGAATGAAGAAAATGGAAAATGGTAAATGGAAATGAATTTGGATCATGGACAATTAATAATTAATTAAGTAAATTATTAAAATCAAAGGACCTGTAGACCAACACAGGTCCACAGTCCAGGGGTTGTGAACCCTGGTCTAGATGACCTGCTGACATTCAAACCCAACATGAGAGCAGGGAGGGAGAGTCATTTCAGTTGGATGGATCAGTGTTTGTTCAGGTCTTACGTCCATGAGCGCAGCATTGATGTAGTTGGAACTCTCTCCATCAATGGTGATCAGGAAGGGGAGGCAGCGGTCAGGGGGCAGCACGTCCATGCAGCGGTTCTTCTCATGGTTCCTGGGCAGCAGGGCGATGCTGCAGTCCTCCACCCGCAGTGTTGGAGTCACCATATTCAGTGTCTGTCGGATGAATCAGAAAAGAACGTTGATTAGCACACTGACAGAAAATTCCAAATTCCAAAAAATGTAACAAACTTCTTTTCCTGTTTCCCCTCAAATTATGAGCTCATTATTGTGTAACACAGAGACGTCCTCACCCTGAACTCCTCCTTAATTGGGCTGGAGTTGGTCTGTGGGTCCAGGCGGTTCATGTCGTAGTAGACAGAGCGCAGCTGACTGGCAGGGATGGTGGTGTCGCCGCAGAGACATGCTTCCAGAATGGCATCGTGGATGAAGACATACTGCTCCTGCAGAAAAAACAGCTTCCTCATTGCGGATCCATTCTACAAATTTTTTAAAACACCGTCCTGTGTTTTTCTGCTTGTTGCAAAAAAAAAAAAAAAAAAAAAAAAAAAACCCTTGTCCTTTTCTAAACCCCATCATTTTTTGACCAACACAGGTCCACAGTCCAGGGGTTGTGAACCCTGGTCTAGATGACCTGCTGACATTCAAACCCAACATGAGAGCAGGGAGGGAGAGTCATTTCAGTTGGATGGATCAGTGTTTGTTCAGGTCTTACGTCCATGAGCGCAGCATTGATGTAGTTGGAACTCTCTCCATCAATGGTGATCAGGAAGGGGAGGCAGCGGTCAGGGGGCAGCACGTCCATGCAGCGGTTCTTCTCATGGTTCCTGGGCAGCAGGGCGATGCTGCAGTCCTCCACCCGCAGTGTTGGAGTCACCATATTCAGTGTCTGTCGGATGAATCAGAAAAGAACGTTGATTAGCACACTGACAGAAAATTCCAAATTCCAAAAAAATGTAACAAACTTCTTTTCCTGTTTCCCCTCAAATTATGAGCTCATTATTGTGTAACACAGAGACGTCCTCACCCTGAACTCCTCCTTAATTGGGCTGGAGTTGGTCTGTGGGTCCAGGCGGTTCATGTCGTAGTAGACAGAGCGCAGCTGACTGGCAGGGATGGTGGTGTCGCCGCAGAGACATGCTTCCAGAATGGCATCGTGGATGAAGACATACTGCTCCTGCAGAAAAAACAGCTTCCTCATTGCGGATCCATTCTACAAATTTTTTAAAACACCGTCCTGTGTTTTTCTGCTTGTTGCAAAAAAAAAATAAAAATCCTGTGACCTTTTCATGAACCTACTATGATTATTCTTTGCCAGGAAAAGGCAGTTTCTATGTCTGATATTTGTCATTGTCAGTGTTTAAAGGTTACCCTCCATATTTATATATACACATATATGTAAATATATTGATATATATTTTTTCTTTTCTAAAACATGGAACTATTAACAACTCTTTTTTCATATCTTTTGACATTTACAGTTTCACTCGTGACGTGTCACAGCCTGGAGGTCGACTGTGACTCCATCATAGTTAGTGTCATGATCAACACCGCAACGACACAAGGAAACAGTGAGTGATGTCACGTTTGCCCCCCCACCCATCCTTCAAAAAGACCACACGGTGACACAGCTGGAGGCTTGATCTAAATCTTTTCTGAAGTGACATTTCCGGCTCTCCCGTCACTCCTGACCATAAAGTGCACCCCCGTACAGGGGTCACTGATTTACAGATGTGCAGGGAGAGAGAAGTGTTTACAAAAAAACAGCTTTGAGTCAGTGAGTGAGTCAGTAGCTGTAGGCGCTCAATCAGGCAACTGCGCATTAATGAATGTTGTCTGTGATCATAAACCATAAACCTGGAACAAGGTTTTTAATTTCTGATGAGCCTGGGTCAGACCGCTGGCTAGGCAGCTGCACCGACGAGCCTGAAAACCTGTGTAGTGTAACAGACACACACACACGCACACACTCAAGGTCACTGCATTTGAGAGCAGAGATTCGGGGTGAACAACATTTGGTCTCCAGTTGCTCCATTTCCCAGTTCCAATGACAATGATGAAACATTTGCCCATTAAATCCAATGATGCTTGTGAGTTAAAAGGAATTGCAGAGAAATGATGCGTTCAATGAGACTATAGACACCTCCAGATGTCTCCTGTTAAAAAAGCACAAAGTCCTTTGGTATTTTTTTTTTACAACAGCATAGAGCTAGAAAATGGGAAAAAGATCTTTTTTTATTTTTTTTCTAAACTGCTGTTAGTCACAGGCTTCTAAATATTATTTACTGCGTGGTTTATGACACTCATTTCATCACTGGACAGAAGGTGAGCCAATCAGTAGGATTTGTTTAAATTACTACTACGTTAATATAATATCTCTGCTTCATTATTTCATCAATACTAAAGATTTAATGATTTTTTTTTTCTCATTATTTCATTTCATTTTTGCTCATTTAGTAGAAATCAGCTTCTCCATCACTTTAGCCATTGATTATTATTATTAATAATTCTTACGCACAGACACAAAAGATGAAATTAATTTGTGTCACTACTTAAAACACACACTGGTCAAGTTTAAATAATGCAGGACTTCCTTGTTCTTGAACAGGACCGACGATATTAGAACGAAAGCTCATTTTGTTTCATTTTTAAAGGCGCTGCGATCATCAGTCACAGGCAGAAACCATCTCAAAGAACTTAACCTACTGGTGGCACCGCAGGCTGCAAAAGGAATGACTAATGAAATACTGGCAACGTGTTTTTCGTTCTCAAAGTGCTCCTCCGCTTTGGAAAATTTAAAGCGTTTGTTTTGGCGAGCCACAGAAGTGGAGCTTATGCTAAGGATTACTTGGCAAATACGAGTTAATCCACATTTAATGGCAGCAGCTCGTCAGGCTCTGTCAGCATTCAGGGGAGCGCCCGCGGCGCAGCTCCGTCTGGCTAACAGTGGTGGCGCTGTACCTCGGTTTGGACCATGTTGACCCTCCGTGAGCGTAGCTCCCGCACGCAGTTGTAGATGTCGACCACGCCCTCTCGCTCCGCCATGTCCAGCATGATGTCAATCACGATGAAGCAGCCTGTCCGTCCGGCCCCGGCGCTGTCAGACACACAGCTGACGTATGTATTATGACCAAAAAAAAAAAGTTCTGTATTTCATATCTTAAAAAGATAAATCACATTTACGAGAGTTGTTTTTGTCCTCCCAGATTTTGTAGTTTTAAATATTTTACACCATAGTATTCAATTCACTTCACGTGTGGTCATTATTTTTCAAGGATATTAAATGTTAAAAAAAAGACATTGGAGGTCATGCACATGGAGGCAGACACATTACAGAGAGCACACTGACCTGCAGTGAACAACCATGGGCCCAGCATTGGTCAGAGTCTTGGACTTGACTCTCCTAATGAAGCCCAGAAGGCCCGTGGCGTGATAGGGCACTCCATGATCCGGCCAGCCTGTGAAGTGAAACTGTCGAATCTCCCGGATCTCGTGAGTCCCTCTCTGAGAGAGAGAGAGAGAGACACAGAGAGAGAGAGATGTGGTGAGAAGACGCTCTGAAGCAAACACATGTAAGGACTGAATGCAAACAGAGACATAATGAACAAAGGCCAGGAGAGATTTGTCCAGGTCTGCTGGGGCCTTATTTTGAACCACTGTGAAACTTGACTTATTCCTAGTCCTTCCCAGGAACAGGATGGACCAAAATATAATGATGTATGATACTTGTAAAAAAGTTACAGCAATTTTTGTAAATATATGTCATATTTTACATACATCGACACCTTTTAAAATAATAACATGACAGCCATTTTGACTGATTTATGCAAAACAAAATGACCCAAAAGGTTAAAAAGGTCACCTTCTCCACAGCGAAGGTCCTGATGACGTACTCCGACAGCAGCTCGGTCTCTATCAGCGTCACCTTGATGTCTCTGTAGATCTCGGTGTCATCGGGCCAGTACTTACAGCACTTCACCTGGGGTCGACAAAGAGTTAGATAAACATCTGGCCACAGGCTGGCGCTCACGTCGATGCCTCGCAGCCACGGGCTGTTCTTTGTCTCTCATACAGGAGCATGCAAATAAACGGAGCCTAAAGTTAATAGTGCCGTTGCTCAATTTGTCACCTGGTAGACCCAGAAACATTTCTCTCAAGTCAAGATGAGATTTGCTTCATATTAATTTCACCCCCCGGTCAAGGATCTGCTGAAAATGGGAATCTTATACATCGACAGAAAGCTCATTCTCACATTATTGCTTTTTCATTCTCACGTGGATAATTTGAAAACGAGTGTTAAGGTGGACTGTAAAGAGACCAGGCTCGGAGCTGCCTGAGCTGAAATGACGTGCAAGGTTTCTGCACCTTAAATTAAAATCTAGTGCACAGAAATAGAACAAAACATTAAAAGAGCAGAGTACGACCGTTGGACAGGAGTGATGTCATAATCAATACAATATTGATATGAAATAATAAACCCCTCATCTGTTTTAAGAAGATTTCCCAACAGGAATATTAGTGAAAACATTACTTGTATTAGGTGTCATAAGACTGCAAAATTACCCGACTCTCCCTCCTGTTCAATTAAAGCGGTGATACAGAGGGAGTGAGGCTGGTAATAGAGAGGAAAATCTGGGAGGTATATCAGAGAATGATCGTTTTTAATGAGGGACAAATGCGACATCAGCCACAACTAGATTTGATTTTCATTTCTGGAGTCTGTGCACTGATTAGGAATGAAATGAGATTTTGGTAGGTAGAGTGACACAGACAGTGGGGGACTTTCAGGCCCCATTCTCTGACACCCCCATGACTAATCTCTGATGACAATCACAAGTCCACCGTCCGCTTCCAGCCAGATTGAATTAGGCAAAAGCTATTACGTTATTAGATCAGTTGGAATCAGGCTCCCGGTCTTGGGGGGTGGGGTGGGGGGGTTAGCCTTTGGGCTGGGTGAAGCCAGTGTGTGTGTGTGTGTGTGTGTGACAGCGAGCACAGCTGTTGAACTTACTTCTTTGGGTTAAAGTGAATGCACGTGTAGCATCATGACACCACAGCACGCAACGCAGCAAACAAAATCTCTCGTACATCAAAGCGTGCAAGTGACGCCCCGGCGTGCGGGAGCAGCAGGAGAGACTGAGGATCTGTGCCTGTGCCAGGATTTCCCAGAGTTCAACAGCAACTGTGCCGAGCAGATGGCCCACCGTGATGTGGCGGAATGATTTTATGGGGTCCTCTGCGGAGGCAGCGCCACTGTGACCAACTGTGCCTACCACCCGCC